AGGGCGTAACTGGTGCACAACCCAAAGCTGTGCAAAAGCCCTCCTGGCCACGGCTGCCACCTGCTCTTCGAGCAGGAGTTGTGAGTCCAGGAGGACCCCCAAGTTACGCACTGGGTCTGTCTGAGGCAGTGCTGATTATTTGGACCCATTTCAGTCAGATTTCAGGATGGAGGCCACATTGTTCATGCTTGCTGATGACTTTTGGTGGAGCCAGGATGGGGGTGCTGTGTTCCTCTTTGTGCTCCTCTATTTCTCAGCAGCTGTCATTTACTATGATAATAGTATTCTTCTGGACTGACTACAGGGCTTAGGAATTGGGCATGCCATGTATAATGATATATGGGAATGACAGGAGGAAGAGCTGCAGACTGGACAACTGTCATGTACAATATATCTCAGTCCACAGAAGGAGGAGGCATGGGAAGCATTTCAGAAGGCATCCTCCCTAGTTTTCCAGAGAGTAAAAGGAAAGGAAGTGAGAAATACTTTCAGACTTGCAAGATTCTCTTAATATAACCTTATAATAAAGATAGGGCTAGTATTCATTGTTGTGCTTCTTGTCTGGACTACCTTGAAGAGCTCCCACCATTGTTCTTCTCCTTCCTTAGCAGCTGGTTCCAATCAGAGTTGGTGGGGGGAGAGGTCATACCATCAGCCCCTCATCTTTGGGATGCCTCAATGCCTCAATCATATTCTGTCCCCTCCTGTTTATATCTAGGTAAAAATGCTGGGGAGGTCATGTGTCAGCTCAGGGACTGGTATCGTGAATACACGGATGATAACCAGTTGCATGTGTCAATCCTGGGCAGGCCAAGTGATGCCATCAGTGTACTGTCTCAGTATCTGGAGGCTGTGTCCATCTGGATGGGGAGAAATAGACTCAGTCTCAGTCCTGCTAAGACTGACTGAATTTTTGTCCTCCACCTCCTCCCAGATCTGGGGACTTTCCATCTTTAGTCTTAGATGGGGCTGCACTCCCGCACTCAAGATTGATGCACAATCTGGGTGTCATCTTGGACTTACACTTCTACTTGAATAAATGGCAGATGTGGCCAAGAGGGCCTTTGCCCATCTATATCTGGTATGTCAATTCTGTCCCATTCCTGGATGAGGAGGTCCTCCAGACTACTCATGCCCTATTCACCTCATGGTTGGACTGTTGCAATGTGCTGTACATGAGGCTGCCCTTAAAGACCACTCAGAAGATACAGCGGGTCCAGAATGCAGCAGCACAGGCAATGTTCAGCATGCCTCAGCAAGCCCATGTGATACCACTGCTCTGCAAGCTGTACTACTTGCCAGCGAGCTTTTGGGTGCAATTCAAGGTGCCTTTGATATAGGATCAGGTTATATGAGGCACCACCTCATATAACTTCAGGTTCCCTTGATCAAACAATTCCATCTGCCAGAGCCCAGGACATATACTCTCCCAATCATGGTGCCTGCTCTCTGTAATATTTGTTTATTCAATTTTTATACCCACCTATCTCAACGAGTGACTCTGGGTGGTGAACAGTATCTATATACTACTAAAACTCTCAGAGTCTGTAACCTTTAATTGGGCAAAATGGTGCATCATAGGGCAACCGTTTTTGAATCAATGTACCTCAAATGGGCTAACTTAAAGAATGCGTCCAAAATCCAGGACCCATGACTTCTGTGGGATTGAAATTTGGCAAAGTTGTGGCACTTCAGCACCACCACACCTTCCCAGAAACCTATAGGTTGCATGGCGCAAGGGAGGATGGGAGGGGCATATCCCTGCCCTCTATCCCAACTCCCTCTGGCCCCTGTTCCCAGTCAGCTGGAGGCAAGGCCCAACGGGTGAGTGGCGATTGGCTGCTTTGGAACTGAGGCTGAAATTTAAATCTCTTAATGGCAGTGGGTGGAAAGGGAAGGATGAGGGAGTGACTTGAATGTCTGCTGGCAAAGTAGGGCTGGCTGGGGGGGTACTGGCAGTCAATGGGTGAGCCCTCTTCCTCCATCGAGGGAGGGGGCCCTTCAGGACCTGCCAAGATGGAGAAGGGGGGCAGTTTTCCTCATGGTCTGCAGCTCCCTTTGTTCCCCTCCCCCCAACAAAGTGGCAGGCAGTTCCATGGGTCAGCTGAGGAGGAGGAAGAGTGACTTCCTACACTTCCTGCCAGCTTCCCACAAGCAAATTCATTGGGGAAGCCAGCAGGAAGTCAGAAGTCACTCCTGCTCCCACTGCTTTTTTGCCCACCTGTGGCCATTCTCTTTCTCTGTTTAGGTAAGGAAATATTTCTGAAAGGATGACCCAACGTGTCACAGGTTATCTGGTTAAAAATAAACATTAAAACGATTACAACTGCAACAATAAACTTGGAGCCCCGGACCTGGGCACAGAACCGAGTCTTTAGGGCCTTACGAAAGGCCAGCAGGGTCAGGGCCAACCTGATATCCAGAGGGAGAACGTTCCAAAGGGGAGGGGCTACAGCAGAAAAGGCGACAGCAGAAAAGGCAGTTACATGCACCAAGTAACTGGCACCATTTACTACCTGTGCTGCCTTATTCTGCACCAGTTGGAGCTTCTGAATGCTCTTCAAGGGCAGCCCCATGTAGAGTGCAGTGCAATAGTCCAGACAGTAGGTCGCAAGGGCTTGAATGACAGTGAGCAGGGCGTCCTGGTCCAGACAGATGCAACTAATAATATACTTCCAGAGATTTGTTTACATTCTAAAACACAACTAACAGGGCTCCATACCCTGCTAACATCCCAGAAGTCTCTTGAGACAGGGTATGGAGCCCTGTTAGTTGTGTTTTTTGTTATAGGGTGCGTGTTTGTCCAATTGTTTTGGTTTTTGTTTTGTAATTGTTTTGTTTTGTAATCGTTTTGTACAGGTTTTAGGTTTTATGTAATTGTATATTTATTTATAGTTTTAACGAGTTGTGAGCCACCCAGAGTCCCCCATTAGGGGGAGATGAGCGGGGGATAAATTTAATAAATAAATAAATAAACAAACACATTTGTTTTGTGTTTTGTTTTGTTTTAGGGTAAGTTGTCCACAGTTGTTCTAGAGTTAGGTGGCCTCTAAGTCTTATATCTAAATATAAATAATAAATATCTACCGAACCGTGAAAAAAATAAAGCTGAAATTAAAAGTAGCATAGCATCAAATAATGTAAAACCCAATTGTTGGAAATGAAATGAAATGAAAATAGACTAACTTTTAATTACATTTTTCCAATTGTGCATCTCTAGTTTAGAACACACATGATCAAATACTTTATAGCACATTTTACAGTTTTTTACAGTTTTCCCCACCATCACATTTTATAGATGCACTGCTATTGCAACTCCTATAATTCCAAACCAGTGTGTCCTCTGGCATTGGTCTGTCCAGCAGCCAAAGTTATCAAAATATAATTACCGTTTTCTGAGCAAAACTAACTGACCTATTCTGAGGGGTTGTAAAGCTATCCTTTTACAAAATAATTATTTTTTAAACTTATTTTTTACAAGCTCCAGAACATAAGATTTGGCACTCAGGTTTTGCTGAATGCTGTTTCTTTTTCACTGCTATCTAGCTGAAAAAGAATGTGAACCACCTCCCAGAAGAGATCGTGAACAACCTATAGAAGAATTGAATGAAGAGTCATTTGGACATGGAACCACAATATCATATAAATGCCGGCCTGGATATGTTAAAGCTTGGCTTATTAAAGTTCAGTGTAATGATGGAACCTGGGAACACTTGTATCCTAAAAAGAACTGCACAGGTAAGTAATAAAATAATGTTTTGCAAAACTCAGTGAAGTAGGATACTGAAATGCTTGAGAAGTATTTTTTCCCCATTTCTGATCAGTATTTTTGATTATAAGCCATCAAGTTGATGTGGGCTCTTAGCAACCACATAGATAGATTTTTCTCCTGGACGATCTGTCCCTAACTTGTCTTTCAGGTCTTCCAAAGGGGAACTCATCACTGCTGTAACTGAGTCCATCCACCTTGCAGCTGGTTGTTCTCTTTCCTTCCACCTTTCCCAGTATTATGGACTTCTCCAGAGAGCTAGGTCTTCTCCAGAGAGCTAGTGCATAAAAACTAACACAACCTAATATAAAATAAGGAATAAAAAGCAAAAAGAAAAATCAAAGCAAAAAGTGCAAGAAAAGAAAAGAAAAAAAGTTGAGGAAAAATAGAAAAGAAAGAAAAAGGTATAAAGAAATGGCTTCCAATATTCTTCACAGCAACTATAAGTACAAATATAACCTCTCTCTCTCTTATATCATATTACTCTTCTTTCTATAATCTATACTGTTTAACTATCAAAACCGTAAATCACAAGTTCATTTTTTTTTCACTTTCACACAAAAAGTCCATAACAGGCTTCCAGTTACCAATAAATGTAGGTAATGTCTTTTCTCTAATCAAAGAAATCAATTCATCAATTTCAGCAAAATCTATCAACTTCACCAACCATTCCTCCATAGTGGGTAATGTTGAATCTTTCCATCTCTGTGTATATTGTAATCTCACTGCAGTAATCATATATTGAAATAATCTTCCATGACTTTTTTCTAACTGTTTATCCATTAATCCTAAAAGGAAAATCTTTGGCTTCAGCTGAATATTGATCTTTAAAATCCTCTGTATCAAAGTGTGCATTTGAATCCAACCTTTTTTAGCTTTTCAATTTTGAAGGGTTTCTAAAGGAATTGGCATGCTATTCTGTGTTACAGGTGAACTCATTTATGATGGTTTAGGTATTTGTGGCCAATCAACTTCAAATTTCAGTCCGTAAACATTTGTTTTGCAATCAAACTTGTAGTCATTCACTTTGAATGGCCTTTTAGCATTGGGTCTCTCTCTGGTCAATCATGACAAATCCCATTTTTAAAAGCTTGAAATTATATTGTATTTTTTGTCTCTTTTATCACATCTATTTTCTGTTTGTATTCTTTGTTTTTACTTGATACTCACTACCATGAATTATATTATTAACGACTATAAATAGAAATTGCTTTTCAGACTAGATGCTAGGAGGATTGTATAGGTGCTTCCATGAATAACAACTTTGAATTTACCATGTAATGTCTTAATGGCAATGCATTACATTTTATTTTTCTAATTTCCAGGAATATCTTGTGGACATCCCGGAGACTCTGATTATGCCACTTTTGAACTTGTCCGTGGAGATGGTTTTACTTTTGGTGCCCGTGTTACTTATACGTGTAATGAAGGGTAATCCTTTTGCTGTTGGTTTTTCTTCTTTCTGATTATTCATCATATATAGCCTGTATTTAAAATAAAAATAAAAGTTCTGTCTCCCAAAAGGATAATGTAATTATATTGTATTCTAGAGTGGGAGTTGTTTATGCAGTTGTAACATATCACTGCAGAGTCCTGCTGTCTTGCTTGCATCCAGATCACATGTGACTAGTTCACAAGAGAAAAGTAAAGCCAAAGGGGATATAATAGGAGAAAAACAGCTCCTGTCATTCATATATGCAGGTACTCCTTGTTTAATGACTGCCCTGTTTACAAACTGTTCAAAGTTACAACAGCACTGAAAAAGTGACTTTACAACTGGTCCTCGCACTTACAACCATCACAGCATCCCCACACACATGATCAAGATTTAGGTGCTTCACAACCGGAAGGCATATTGCAGGGTCCCATGGTCCCATGATCACCATTTGCACACATCACAGCCAGCTTCTGACAAGCAGAGTCAGTGGTCAGTGGAGAAGCTGGCAGTGAAAACGAAAGTTGTGGTCACATGATATCTCGCTTAACAACTGTGTCACTTAGCGATGGAGTTGCTGGTCCCAATTCTGTATATGTATGTGCATGTGTGTGTGTATACATAAGAGTCAGTTTAGTATACTGGTTAATGGGCTGGCCTAGAAGCCAGAAGACTGTGAGTTCTAGGCCTTCCTTAATCATGAAAGCTGCTGGGCTAGTTGTTCTCTCTCATCCCAACCCACCTCACAGGTTTGTTGGTGTGGGGAACATAGAAGGCAGGACTATTAGTTATGTTCACTGTTTTGAGTCATATATAAAAAAGTTGAGATAAACATCTAAATATCTATGCACACACACATGTACATATATGTATACACACACACATGCATATATACATGCATGTACTCACACTTTAAGATGGGTTAAGTCGGGAGTCTGATGTGACTGTAATCTGTGGCTCTTGTCTGGGCTGTCAAGAGTGTGGCTACTGAATTAAGAAAGTTCTCAACATGATCAGCAATCCTTCCTATCCTACCTTTAAGCATCCAGTGGGATTCTATAGAGATGACGTATCTGTTCTTGTTCTACCTTAAAGGAAGTAAAGCTAACACCTAAATAAATAAATAAATTCCTCTTTTATTCAAATGCAATTATTGCAGGAAATACAATTCTGAGCAATATTAATTTTATTAATATTAATAATATTAATATTAATGAGAAAGTTCAGTTTTTAGTATTCCATATACAGTATGTTTAATCTTTAAGTATCATGGATTTTTTAGTCATAGTCCCCATGTCTGCACTGGAATGCCTCAGTCATGGAATCATAACTGTTCTGCGCTCTAGAACTAGAGAGAATACTCTTGACCTTCTGTGAAGTCCTTTGAGGTATTTGAAGAGTGATCTCTCTTTCTCTCTCTTTCTGCCCGCCCCCCCGTGTTTTTTCAAAGTTAAACATACCAAGGTCCTTCAATCTTGCTTCATAAGATTTAGCTTCTAGTCCCCTGATCATCCTCAATTTCCTTCTCTGAACCTGCTCTAGTTTCTCTGAATCCTTCCCAAAGTGTATTGTCCACAAGTAGTGACAACAGATGGAGCATGATCTAAACAAAGTAATAAAGTCAGTTTCACATCATTTGAAAACTGCATTTCTGTACATGCAGCCTAAAAATGTATTTGCCTTTTAATAACCATATCCCACTTATGATTTATATTCAGTTTGTAATCAAGTGGTGCATGCAGAACTTTTTCACAAGTACCATTATAAGCCAGGATTTCCCCATCCCATACCTGTGTGTTTTATTTTTATTTCTGAAGGGAAGAGCTTTCCACTTTCCTCTCTTAAAGTTCATCCAATTGCTTTAAGCCCATTGATCTTCTCTGTCAAGATTATTTTAAATTTTATTTCTGATTTCTGGGATATTAGTTATCCCATCCAATTTGTGTCATCTGCATATTTGATTAGCATCCCTTCTAGGCATTAATGCAAATATTGCACAGCAGAGGATCCAAGTTTAAGTCTTGTGACTCCCAATTTGTTATCTATCTCCAGTTTGATAAGGAACCACTGAGGAGCACTGTTACTATAAGGCCTCTGAGCCTTATATCACTTAATGTTTATGCCATCCAACCCACACATCACAACACCATGGGGTACTTTGTCATATGCTTTGTTTAAGATACATTATGTTTATACCATTTTAACAATCTTTTAAGAAGTTGTGCTATCAAATCTGTACTGGCTTCTGTCAATTGGTGCCTTGTTTCCAAGGTGGTTACAGAACAATTCCTTTATTAACTACTGGAGAATCTGCATGAATGGTCTGCAATTTATATGTCCCTCCCTTCCTCCCTCCCTCCCTCCCTTCCTGACAGCATTTTTCCCCCACTTTACTAATTCTCCAGGTGATACGGAAAGGTTTGGGGAGACCACCAGTTAGTTCCTTTAGTGCCCTTAGAGATTAGTTCACATAGTATTGGAGATTTAAAGCCAAATTAAAGAGGTATTCCTTAATCATGTTCCAATGAATCTCAGTGACAGGCTTCACTCAACTGGTACAAATACTAGAAGCTTTGCAGGCAGGGATTCAAGAGCAAACACATTGATAAGCTCGGTTTATGCAAGCCCTAGAAAAGGGATTTAAAGAAAACAACAAGCAACTACCAAGAATAGAATGCAAGTCATATTTATAGTAAAAAGTGAGATTTGTTTCTTGCATTTCTTTCTCCTGGCAGAGTTATGTAAAGGCCAAGCGCTTCCTGCTTTGGCACAAGACCCCTGTTCTTCTCTTGCAATGGACCATTCTGGTTTCAGGATGTTTACTTCTGATCTTGCCAGACCTGGTCCTTACCTTCAGACTTCAATCTTGCTTCTTTATCTTGCTCTTCACAATTTCCTTATGGAACATACCTTTTTATCTCAGAGAATCCTGAGCTGAAATAGAGGTACAGTAACTGGGCCTTTTCTTTGTTATCACTTAGCATTTTGTCATCTTCACTGAGCAAACTGATTCTTTTCCTTTTATTTTGAATATATCTAAAAAAAACTACGTTAATATTCTTAGCATCCTCCACTATCCTCTATTCATCCTGAGCTTTTGCTTTCCTGTCATCAGTTCTAGAGTTCTAGACTACGTGTTTGCATTTTTCCTTCAGGCCCTAGCTCTCTTTTATTTTCTACGCTTCACTAGGCCATCTGTGTAACCACATTGGCTTCTGCTTTTTTCCCCCTTTTTGTCCCGTGCTCCATTTTAATTGCTAATTGAAATAGTTTGCAACTGTATTTTTCATCGAATCTTAATTATCATTGTTCTGTTAAAATCTGCTTTTTTAGAAGTCCAAGAAACATGTTTAACTATACCCAGTTTTACCTTCCCTTCAATCCCTTTCTTTTATATCACATGCCTTTTTTTTCTTTTTTTTTACAGTCTTGGGATATGTGAATTTGAGACTGATAACTCAGAACAGCTCAATTAGTTTGTCACAGTGACTTTATTTTTCTTTATTAGCTGTTTAATTGCCTTCTACAAAAAATGTTTACAGAAAGGACATGAACTGTATTTGTCCTGAAGTACTGAAAAAACTCTGTAAGTGAATAGTGTACTTTTTTATTTTTGAATTTGCATGAGAAACCCAAATTAGATCAGTGAAAGCAGACTACGTTACTAGTTACAAATGTTTATTTTCTTCTCCCAGATTTCAAAGAATTATACCAACACCTGACTGTGCTAGTTTGGTGGTGACAGAGAATAGAGTCATCCCACTTGTTTCATCTGAACTTTTTTACTGCATGTTGGTTTTATCTGGACTATGTATTCCTTTTTTTTTTTTGGTAACACTCCATTTTGCAGCATTGCTACACAAAGATTGTTGTTGTTGTTTAGTCGTTAAGTCGTGTCCGACTCTTCGTGACCCCATGAACCATATTGCGCCAGGCCTTCC